AGCAGAGCGTTCTGGTTAACACAAGCTAAAGCTCTCTTTTTGCAGGAGCACAATATTTCCTAAAGTGTATATGTGTTAAAATACCGTTTCCAACATTGTTGCGCTGCAGAGATATCCACGCCAACAAACTGTATTATTCAGATTTAAGTAAATATGTTTTTGGTTTAAAACATCACAGAAACATTCAGAAATAATTCAGATTAATTGTGGATAGCGTCAAAGCTGAGTGCAGATGGATATCTCTTCTCTGCCGGAGCTTTCTCCTGGTTTCGGCTTTGGGTTTCTTCCAACTCTTGTACTTGTCCCTGAAGTCTGGCTGGTTTCTATAAATAACTGAAATCTGTGGCCAGGTTCAGTCTGCAGCACAAACAGCTGCTTGGTGAGCGGACGCACAGCTTCATTACCAGGGACCTCTCTCTGGGGGATTGTGGAATAGCTCTAGATTCAAAATGCAAGGCTTTTATTGTCATGTGTTCATAGCTACAGTGTAGATATGACCATGAACAGCTTAGGTCACTCCAACAGTGTTCTTTCAAAAGTTCAGGTGTTTACCGGTCTCATGGCCCGTGGGATCAGTCCATATAGAGACATTTGATATTAAAGGTTTTCTACGCTCTTAAGCAGCTCCACACATCTGACTCTCTCCACACACAGAGACAAACTGATCAGCAGGGATGGCAGTGTGTATAAAAAAACACATTTGTCTGCCAGATAGTTTCTAAAGAAGAACATGCACTGGAGGGGATTTCGGCAAACTGCAAAAACAAGTCCTTTTTGTTTCATAACGTTCATGCAACTTCTGAAAAAGTACACAGTCTTCATGTTTTCCACATCACTGGGTTTAGATCAAGTGACCGTTTAGATTAGTCTCACTAAAGCAGTGCACCTCGTTTATCAAATGGTTTCTTTTCCCTTCTTGAATCACTCGTTTGAATTTGTTGAAGTGAGTCTGTGCTGCTTGAGGCTGCATGTCTGCATATATGAGCCTTCACATGCAGTCATGAGGTCAACATGGACTGTATTGAATTGCAACGTTCTTCCCCAGCAGCATCGGCGCGTTTCCACTGCAGGGCCTCGCTCGGCTTAGCACGGTATAGTTAGTCCTTGGTAGGCCAGGCTCACTTTAAGCTGCCTTTCCATTACATTTTAGTAGCTGGGGCAGTAACTATAGTAACGCATCTCATGCACTGATTCGCTAAGCTGAACAGCCAATCAGTGATTTCTTTTGCCGACAGCCTTTGGCCGACTGCCCACCGATTCGACATGTTGAATCGGTAGGTTTTCGGGACACACCAATCTGAGTAGGGCGACAGGACGCTCATCGTCGCCGTGACGCCCATCGACGGACAAAATTGTCTTGGTGTGTCCGGGCCTTTAATGTAAACAAAGGATAGTACATCACACGCCCTCTGTTTTTCTGTTTTTATTGATTGAGTATATTATATATAGACCTTGAGAGCCTTGAAAGTAAATGTATTATTAATATTATCTTATAGATGGATAGATACTTTATTGATCCCAATTTGGAAAATGTTTGCGTTGCAGCAGCATAAAAAACAAGGCAATGAACATAAGAGAAATTAAAACACAATATTTCTGAAATAGAAATAAAATAGCATTCAAATGTAAAAAGTAAAGATATACGTTTGGAAAATATACATGTGGAAATACAAATGACTGTTGAGAATAATAAAATAATAATAATGTTGTCTCTCTGCAGTGATCAGCCCTGCGTCGTGGAGGGACGGACAGAAGCTGGTGAAGATGGTTCTGGGTCCGGTTCCCAAGCTGCCCCGAGAGGAGGAGCTGCCAGCTGACAGACTGAGCAGAGCAGGTGGGAGACTGACCTCTGACCCCTTTTACACGCCACGACACTCGCTCTCTCCCTCTGTACACACATCTACACTCACTCTCTACTCACTCTCTCCCTCTGTACACACATCTACACTCACTCTCTACTCACTCTCTCCCTCTGTACACACCACTACACTCACTCTCTACTCACTCTCTCCCTCTGTACACACCACTACACTCACTCTCTACTCACTCTCTCCCTCTGTACACACATCTACGCTCACATCTACACTCACTCTCTACTCGCTCTCTCCCTCTGTACACACATCTACACTCACATCTACACTCACTCTCTACTCACTCTCTCCCTCTGTACACACATCTACACTCACTCTACACTCACTCTCTCCCTCTGTACACACATCTACACTCACTCTCTACTCACTCTCTCCCTCTGTACACACATCTACACTCACATCTACACTCACTCTCTCCCTCTGTACACACCACTACACTCACTATGTCTTATATTACCATGTCAGGACCCCAGCAGCACACCCAGCTAATACTTTATTTTATTCATCCTTCTCAGTTCTGCAGGGACATGTTTGATAATAATGTCACTGGTTATGATGGTTTTGTTCATGACCATCTAGTTTTCCAGATGTTCACAAACCAATAGTTCTTTTTGTTTGGTGTCCATCTC